GTTTCAGCAGCACCACCAGGCACTTCTCCCTCTCCTTACGGTGAACCCCGTGGGATTTGTGTGCTCTGGTGCTGCCGAAAAGGAGGGATCGGGACCTTTCCAAGGTGCTCAGGCTCTATCCGAGATGCGCTCCCCAGGTGATGTGGCCACGGGTGCCTTGTCCCCAGGTGGGTCCCAGCCCCAGCAATGCCCAGGGGACACGAGGTGGGGCACCCCAATCCCTCTCCCAGCACTAAGCTCAGGGCATGAGTCCAAAAAAAGAGGGCTGAGGTTCAGCTGAGCGATGCAAACCCACAGGAGAAAGCATCTCCCTGGTTCCTGGAGGTACCCAGCCTCATCCTAGGGCAGTTTTACCCCAAAACCATTTTACCCCTGCACCATTTTTAACCTCTCTGACTTCTTTGCAGCCCCAGTGCCCCGTCGGGACCTGGTGTCCGCACCGCACATGATAATAACAAAATATTTCAACCTATTTTTCACGTTTTTAGTCTTTTATGTATGCACAGCCTGCAGGAGCTCGGCTGTTACCACCTAGTGCCCGGCAGGAGAGGAGCAGCAACCACACACAGACGGGGGCAGCTCGGCCACGGCTCTTCCCTGGGGTCCCACGGGGCAAACCCGAGACCTCCTCGCTCTGCCCGTGGGCACCCAGCAGGAACAGGGGCTGAAAACACTGCTGTGGTTCAACTTCTCTTCCCTTTTATAAAAAAATAATAATATTTTCTGGCACGAACTGTCCCTTGTGACTGGACTTAGCCCCGGGCCACGACAAAGGCAGCTTTCTTACCGAGTTTGAGGGCTGCAGGGCACCGTGGCCCCGGGGCTCCCACGTTGCAGCCCGTGGAAATGGGAAGGAGCCGTGGTGCCGGGCACTCAGCACCATCCTGCTGCGTGCAGGGGGCAGAGGGAGCCCGGGGAAAACCACAGAGGGCCAAAGAGATGGATGCTGAGGGCAGGGAGAGAAGGCAGCCAGGCAAGGAGCGCAGTGCGCAACGTGTGCCTGCAAAGATCCCAGCACAAAGCTCGCCGCCATCATCTTTCAGCATCTCCGAGGTTTTCCAGCCTTAATAACCACCTTTCAGCCTGTGTTTAAAATCCTACACGCCGACGACAATCAAACAGCACCGGGGCTGCGAGATGAAACGCCCAGAAGCTACGCCCCCGCAGAACGGGAGACGGGGAGGGGGAGCCCCCGGCACCCGCGTTCGAGGTGGGAGCAGCGACACCGCCCGTCAGGGCACGCAGCATCCCGAGGGATTATCTCCCCCAGGGATGGGGTGGAGAAAAACCAGCTCCTGGTGCCCATTCCCCAAGGAATTCCCCTCCCTGCCAGCCCCAGCCACTGCTGCAGGCAAAACCCTCATGGGATGGGGGGCTGAGGGACCCCCAGCATCCTTTGGCTTAAAAAAAATAAACGATGGCCACTAAAGCGGGAGGTTTTGTCCTCTAAAATCCACACCAGGGGCTTGGAATGAGGGAGACCACCCTGCACCATGACGCCAGTGGATGGAGATGCCAGGGGCACGGCCAGCAGTGGGGAGCAGCCCCAGCCCCCCCGGCTGTGACCCTGATACCTGGCACGGTGCTGCCAGCTGGCACAGCCCCGTGTCCTGCAGCGTGCCCGTGGGGACACAAGGACTCGGCCCATTTTGCTCTGGGTGGCTCCAGCCCCAGCTGGTTCCTTTTAAATCAGCCACACGAGGTGAGGGAGGGGGGAACAGAGGTTTTTTAAGCCCCGGCTGCCCTCCTCTTTACCTTCCTGCCTGGAGGGCAGCCAGGAGCAGCTCGCTCCTCCCTGCGCACATCTGGAGGGGTCGGGTCCCCTGTCCAGGGCTCGCCGCGCTCCCTGGCCACCCAAAACGGGCACAGCTCCTCCTGCACGGACCCTGCTTTGTCCTGAGTGGCCGTGTCCAGCCCTGGGACCATCCACAGCGTGCTTATAACCGCAGGGAATGGGGCTGACCAGCCTGGGGATGCTCTGCAGGGCTCAAAGGGACGGGACACAGAGTGACCCGGCGTGTGCTGAGGACCAAAATGGGTCCTGGCCCCGCAGCACCCGGAGGCTCCTTCACCCTGAGCTTCTCCTGGCATCCCCACACCAATATCACTGAAAATCTGCCTGGTCCTGGCAGGCCAGCAGCACTCAGATGTTGCTCCAGGCGCCTTACACCCTACCAGCAGCTTAAACGTGCTCTGATAAAAGCCCTCGGCGCACCACCCGTGGGGACGCAGCGGGGACAGGCAACCCCTGCCCAACCACAGGAGCGCAGATCCTCGCACACTGATGCAAAAAAAAAGGGGCTCTGCTGCGGAGATGTCTGAGATTCCTGCACGGCCCCTTGTTCTGCAGCCCCTTTCCAAGCAGCTGAGCCCAAGGAGCGCAGCAGGAACGGGCTGCGCACGCCCGGGGGCAGCAGAGCAGCGCGGAGCCGCGGCACCGGGATGCTCCCGAGCCCCCCGAGGAGCTGCGGGGCGTGCAGGAGCCCCAAGAGTGCTCCTCCAGGGATGGGGCAGGACCCCAATGGAGCCTGGTGGCCGAGGCAGGCACCCTGCTTTACCAGCCGCAGCTCCAAGCACGCTGCTCCGACACAGATCTCGCTCATGAGATGCCCAAGAGCGCAGAGGAGTGGCACAGCACCTACAGCCTGCTTTTCTTCCTGCTGTGCTTTGCAGAACAGCTGGCACCCTCCCCTTTTTCATAATTCCCTCTCTGCACACACGCTTCTTAAACGCAAAGCTTACAGCTCTGGGAACAGCCTTTGGGGATGCCGTGGGGACGCACATCCCCGAGCCCTACGGCGAGCTGGAGAGAGCCCAGGCTCCCCGCGAGGTTTCGCCCCGCTGGGGGAGATGCAATCAGTCAGCATCCATCGGTGCCGGCAGCGCTTCCCAAAACCAGCCAGCATCTCTCCATCCAGCAAGGAAAGTCCTCTGGCAGCACGGGAAGCCACAGGGAGCCCTGGGAACATCCACCCGCCACTGCGTCCCCAGGCGCTTCCATCCCGGCGGGCTCCGAACACGTCAGAGCCTTCCAAAACACTCTCGCACGACCCAAGGTTGGAAGTAATAAACCTTCCTGAAAGGCAGCTCGCATCAGCTGCAGCTCAGCGTGGCAGTAACGCAGTTAGTCACAGCCAGGGGGGGAGAAACGATGGCAGAAGGGAGGAGGGAAACTGAGTCACGCATCTGTCTCATCGCGACGCTATTTTTAACGTAATGGACACGAGGGAGGGTGTAGCTGTCACGTCCCCGAAGCGCCGGGGCTGACCTTGGGCAATTTCCTCTTCAAATGTGTCAGATTTCCCTCCGTTTCTCACGTTAGAGGTGGAATCGTGTTGGGTTTGAGCTGGTTTTTAAGCCCGCGTAACGCAGCGGGGCCATCTCGCCAGGTTTCCAAGCCGCGATCCCACGCGCTTGGTGCTCAAACTGGAACAACTCAAGTGCTGGGCAGAGAGGGGCAAAGCTGGGCTGGGCCAGAGCTGCTCTGCTCTCCTGCAGTTTTGGGGTGCTCACATCCCCGTCATATATCTCATGGCCCCACAGACCCTGGGGCTTTGTCCCCTTTTGTCCCTGGCACCCCAGGGACCCCACACCGCTCGCCCCTCCGAGAGCTGGCGACAACAACTCTTTATTCCTGGATATTCGCAAGCAGCTTCCCGGAGGAGAAGCCACGCGAAGCGACTTTTGTTCTGCCCGCAGCTGACAATGATAGACAGATTGATGGCAAGCAAGTTATTTTGTCTCCTCTCGCAGCTGACAAAATTTGCGCTGGTATTTTCCCGGTCCAGACCCCACCTTTCATCTGACATGATTAATGCCGCTGGAAAGACAGAGAAAGAGCCAGCTGCTTCTGCCTGCTGAGCTTTCACCGAGCAGCTGAGAAAAAGCGTCCTTTTGTTCCAGCATCTCTGGAGCCTCTGCAGACTTTTCTGAGCAGCCTTTTATTGCGAAAGGTTAGGGAAATGTGGCTGCTGGGGCTGGCATATTGTGCCGTGCTCTGCGCAGATCTGGGTGCTCGCCCAGGGCAGCACGGCCAGCACCAGCCTGCGCCCTCGGTGGGGTCCCCATCCACTGCAGAGGTGCCACGGGCATCACCCAGAAGGTCTCTTTGCTCCTGTCCCTTCCAGGCTCTGCCTCTTTGCTTGGTCCTTGTGACCACGGCAGGGGATGCTGACAGCCTGGGGGGGGTGTCTGAGGCTCCCCACGCAGCCCTGGGGTCCCTCAGATCTCACCTGGCAGCACGGAGGTGGCTGACACACATCTGTGCTTCCATCACCTGCCAGAGGGGCTGGGAAGGGCATTTATCAGGCTGAACACACCGCATCCCCCCCCCTGCCCTAAATACATTATAATGCGGGTCTAGGAAACAAGCCTCAGAGATAAAATTCAAAGAGAAAAACAAAAGCACTCGGTGAGAGCGCACCGAGCGCTGTGCGCACCTCCCCGCCTCTCTTTGTGAGGCCAGCAGCCCCTCAGCAGCCCCAAACTCACGGAGAGGCACCCGCAGGAGGGTGCTGCATCCAACCTACAGGGTGCCAGCAGCAGTTCCAAAACCAAGCAGCTCCAATTCTCACCAGGAGTCCTCGTTTCATCCTTACCTGCACCACCACCGCTCGTCCTTGCTCGCTGTCACCTTTAAACTCTCACTGCTGGCCCTAAGGCACTTGCCCAGCAAACATTTCCCTGCCCCCTCGTGCCGGTTCAGCCCCCAGAAGCAGAAGGAACGGAGCTGATATAACCTGCCTCCTTTCCATCCCTTTCCCCAGCACTGTTTATCCGCCCAGCGATGCAGAAACAAAACCATTTCACAAACCAGCCATCATTGACAGAAGGGTTTTTCCCCACCTGACAAGCACAGAGGCTACAAAAATTCAGCTGCAACGGGAACTCTTCCTGCCCCCTCTGCCCACACGTGTGCATCAGACAGGAGACAACCTCCAGGAGATGAGGACGGGCACAAAACCTCTGACACGTGGTGCAGGAGCGGCGTTGTGCCTTACCTGGCGCTCTGGAAGGTGGCAGACGCTGATTTTCCAACAGCCCCGAATCCGACTCCCACGGCCAGGCCCTCTGAAACGGGAAGGAGAAAAAACACCACGGTCAGATCCTGCAGCAGCCCCGAGGCCGTCCCTCCTCCTGCCCTCAAGCGGAGAGCAAAGCAGCACAGGCAGGGGAGCAGAGCCCCGGGTCAGCTCATCACCCCTCTCATTTTAATCCAAGCTCTCTGCAGATCCACCCGATAGCTGTCTGAGCGATGAGGGTGGATCTGCACCACGCCAAGGGGGTGCCACAGACCCCAGCACGGTGATGGGAAGCTCTGGGCACGCAGATTCATGCTCCCACTGTGCAGGGGTCTCCTGGGGAGCTCGCACAGAGCAGAGACTTCTGTATTTGCACGGGACAGGAGAAGACCACAATCCCCAGCAGCTAAAATGCCATTTTGCTAAGGGGCAGAGCAGAGCAAAACACCCACGTAAAGGCTGAGGCTGGGCAAAGCTCTCCGCAGAGCCGTGCACAACGCGGTGCCATGGGGGAGCTTTGCAGGAGAGAAAAAACCTCTCCTTACAGCCCCGGGGGTGATGCTCATCCAGGAGCAGGCTCCCAGCAAGAGATTTCCGTGTCCTGTGCCGAAATTTGGGCACGCCGCCTTTACAGACAGTCCAAAAGGCAGGAGGAAACCCAAACTCTGCGAGACATCACAGCCAGCCCCAGAGGAAAGAGCCAGAGGTGGAACCAGGGCACGGGGCAGGGCAAGTCCTCCCCATCCTCCCCACTCCCTCCCTGCCCTTTCTGCTCCCGCTCTGAAACTTTTCTGACCCTCCTGGTGCTGGAACAGCTCCCTCAAACCTCCCAGAAAACCCCTCCTTCGAAGGAGGTGTCAAAACGCTGCCACGTCTGCCTTTGTTGGAAATTCAGGCTTTGTTCCTGCAGCTTTTCTGGCATTGCTCCCCTCCCAGTCAGGCGGGGGGGAAACCATTCCAGGATGAAAAACGAACCCGTTTGCGTGGCTGGATGCTGGAGAGGGCTCGCCAGCCTTCCAGGAGGCGATTGCCTGCTCCGACAGCCACGCAGGGGGCAGCAGGGACTGCTCGGAGGCACCTTCAGACAGGCTGAGAAGTCCCCACGGCGCGTGCCTGTGCGCTCAAGGATGAGGTCTCAGAGGAACAGGCCCGTGTAATGTTTGTGGTCTTCTGGATTTCCAGTTGCCTTGGAAACACCCCAGGAAAGGCAGCGCCAACTCTCCTTATCAGCATTTGCATCCTCTGCTCCAGGAGTCACAACGTGCCACAAGCCCCCGGAGCCTGGATCCGAGCTTGGTGCCGAGGCTTAGGATGGAGACAGGGAACACGGCCCCAAGAACCAAAACCCTGCGTGTGGGTCCCTAAACCCTGAGCGTCCCTAAAACACCACGGCTGGACGATAACTCCACCAGTAAAACAACCAGAGCAGCCCAGGCACGTGGTGGTGCCAAGGGGGACGTGTGCTTGTGCAAAGTGCTCGTGCAAAGCACAAATGCAAAGCACAAACGCAAAGTGCTCGTGCAAAGCGCAAAGCGCTCGTGCAAAACCCTCGTGCTCCCCAACAGCACCCTCCTGGAGGATGCAGGAGCAGCCCCAGAGCCAGGGGCAGGCAGCGAGTGCCAAAAGCTTTGCACCTGCAGCTGGCGATGGTTTTGCACGCTCGGCGTTCACGCAGCGACCTGCAGGAGGGGAGAAGGGGAAGAGCTTTTTCGAGACACTTCATGGCTGCGGTGAGGACACAAAGAAGCTCCGCACGAAGGGAGCTGGCACGGCTCCCCCACAACATTTCTTCTGAAGTGAGACTTGCCCAGAGAGCAAAATTCAAAAAGGCCGAGAGCGCTAATTTGGGTAAATAACGAGAAAAGCTTAGACGGAGCGGAAAAACCACAGCAGTTTGCCCTGCTGTACGGCGAACCTCACGGAATAGGCAGCTCAGCAGCACAATTAATGGAAGCACAAATCCCATATATACGGAAACAAATGACGGGCGGGGAAAATCAACAGATGGCGCGTGGGGAGCTGCCTGCTCGGAGAGGGAGAGGCAGCGATGGTGGGAGCTGCAGCACGGTCGGGAAAGGTGACAGAGCAGCGTCGGGTCCCGGGCTCATCCAGCTCCTGCTTCCCAGGAGAGGGGAAAGAGCCGGGGCAGGACAAATACACCCAGGAATCACCTAGGGGATGGTGACCCCATGCCGGCACAAGCCCCAGACACGGCACCATCCAGGCTACGGTGGAGAAATTCGCTTTACCCCAGCCAGAAGCAGCACAGAGGGGAGCTCAGCAGCTCCGTACGGATCCAGCAGGGACCCCGCACGTGGTGCCGAGGCTCGGGAAGGCTCCGGGTGCACCCAGCAGGTGCCACGGGGCCCGTGCCGCAGCCTTTTTTTTCAGCCACGGCGCTTGGCGCAGCCTGCCAGGATCACACCCTAACTCGGAGGCTTCAGAGCCACGGGGCTGGGCTCTCCAAAAAAGAAAACGTCAGCCCCGAAGCCTGGCGGAGCAGCCAGCCTGCTCACAAAAGAATCGGGGGAAGCCGCCGGGAGGCTCGCTGCCAGCCTGCCCACGCTCGGAGCTCGCAGCAGGCTCAGCCCCCGGCTGCAGCCCCTCTCTCGGGTGTTTTGCACGTATCCAAATTATAAACAGCCCGAGAGGCTTCCTCGGGGTGGTAAAGGCACAAAAAGGGAGGTAATGAGTCTGAATCAACCAGCACGTGGTGGTCGTGTGAAGGATTTGAGGGACATCGGGGCGCTGATGTGGCTGGGGGAGAGCCTTCTCATTACCTGCCGGGAATTCAGCCCCGAGCCCTGGTTCGGGGCTTCATCAGGCTTTAAATATTGCCTGGGCAGAGTTCCCGAAGGAAACAGATCCCAGACAATCCTCAAGGACCAAGGGACGTAAGGGACCGCTCCTGAGGGACCGCTGCTCCCCGCAGGGTGAGGCAGAAGCCCCTTCGTGGGGTTGCAGAAAGCAGAAGCAGAATTATGACCGATCCCAGCCCAGCAGGAAAATGCTCCCGTTTCAGCTAAACGAGGGGATTTTGCCTCTCTTGGACTTCCTCGGCTTTACCATTCAAGGCGTTTGAACCTGATAAGGCATCTCGCAGGGATCAGAGCCCCCACCCCTCCTCAGCAGGGCGCCGGCACGGCCGCTTGCTGATGCCTGTAGGAGGAAAAAGCCACGGCAGCTTTAAAGTTCAAAGGATTAGCTTGAAAGCGGGCTGGCTTCCTGCATCCCTCAGACCTCTCCCTTATCACGCATTGCACAAGCCCACACGAGCTCGGCGAGCTGAAAGAACCGGGGGAAATGAAACCAAGTGCTGCTTTAAATCCTATTCACTGCGGCTTACGAGGCCAAACCGGGACCTGGACCTCTCCTCGCTGCTCCCCGGAGCAGCCCCGTGGTGGCACAGGAGCCAGGGCAGCCCCGAGCCCGGTGCCAGCCCAGGGCCACCTCGGGAGCTCGCTCGGCTCCTGCCGTTTCCAGCTTCGTTTCCAAGCATGAAATGAGCTTCACAGCACCACGGGATGCCAGGTGTAATCCCCAGGGGAAGGCCAGCTCACAAAGAGCAAGCAAAAGGTAAAAATCCTCCGGATCCCCCCAAAACCCAAACTACAGAACAGCGAGCATCTCTCACAGAGCCTCCACAAATCACAGCAGCAAGCAAATTAACCCCAGTTATTCGTTACTCTTACATGCCTTAAAGAGCAGAAAAACGAGCACAGGCTGGAGGTAGGGAACAATATCCCGTTGCAATGTTTAAAAATTAAAAACCTCCAGCAGACTGAAGGACATTCCTGGTGCACCTTTGTCTCCCAGAAGGCACTGGACGAGGGACAGGAGGGGACGGGGCAGGGGATGGTTTGCACGAAGCCAAACCTGAGCCTTGCGACTGCTCCAGCCCCCAGCCCACTGCAGCTCCTCTGCCAGTTCTCTGCAGGACAAACATCACCTAAAAGACTGAAATTCCCTTCTTGTTCACAAGGAAACACAAAGCACAGGCTGTGCATTAACATCGCTGCCTTTTCCACTCGTCGTTTCGTGCTGGCACCTGCTCTCTGCTCGCTCCTCCCGTGCCTTCCGCTCCCCGAGAGGATGCGCTCGGCACGGCGCCTTCCGAAAAACACACCTGCAGGAAACTGCCGGGGATGGAGAGCAGAAAACTGCCGGGATGCAGCACGGCCCCCCCCAGGAAAGGAGCACGCAGGGAGCTGTGAGAGCTCTCAGACCTCTCCTCCTGCCAGGGCCGGCAAAGAAAATCCTCCCGGGTCGGCGAACGAAGGCGCTTCCCTTCGGAAGGTGCCATGGGTGCCAGCATGTCGTCAATTATTCATCCGGCCTTTGAAGAACTGGAAGCTCCTCGTGGAAAATTAATCCTGCTGTAATGAGGTTTGTATTTCTAAGAGAGTTTAAGCGTGTCCCCGTCTCCACTACTCAAACTCTCAGTTTTTCCTCCCGTTGCCACTAGAGAACATCTTTTTGCCATTACTGCGAAGGAAAGCGCAGGCATTACCACATTTCAGCAATTTTCACATCTCCACACATTCCCCATCCTCAGAGCAGCGAGCAGGAGGTTAAAGCAGTTTTAGAGAGACTTCTTTCCTTTTTGAACTTGAGCTCGAGAGCAGTGAATTTCCCTTTGTGTTTGAGACACCAAGCCTGCAGCTGCTGGGAGGCAGCCTCGCCTAGCCCCACGTGCGCACACAGTGCTGCTTCCCACCACCCTCACTCCTCAAAAGCTGTGTTTTTCCCCCAAAACCTGGGTTGTCAGAGTGGGCACATCTAGCACAGACCCCAGGCTCCCGACGTGGCTGTCTGAAAAGTGCAGCAGGAAAATCCATGCGTGCAAAACACCTCTCTGTGCCCCAGGAGCACGGGGATGCTAAGGCTCCCCGAAAGACCACAGCCCGGATCTCCAGCAGGAAATAATAAAATCAGCATTGCAGCAGCCCAGGATGCACACAGCCACCCTCCAAAGCAGGAATGGACAGGGGAGGGTGAAATAAAAGGGGCAAAAAAAAGCAGCAGATGGATGGCAGGACCGAGCCTCCC